GCGAGTTATCTGTGAAAATGGTATAGACTAGTAAGAATGGCACAAATTCCAGTTTCTCTAATCACTAATTTTTAATACAAATTTTTCTCTCTTAATTGTTGGTGGCCTGTGTACTAGATTCCATAGCCATATTTATGTGCCATCACAGAGACTGACATACTTTTCTTGAGTACCAGATATAGTTTGGTTTATATAAATACTATTATCTTGATACATAGGATGTTCATGATACAAAAAGTATATAAGAACCAAGCCCAAAAGAGAGGTGACGCTCTTCTTCAGACTCACACCCAGTCCAGGCACAGAATTCCCAAGAGGGATGGCAGATAGAACAGTCTCTGCTATTTACATTACATTTCTTCTTTTTACTTTTTGCAGTGTGTGTCTAGATGAATACACACAAATTAAACGCCCAAGTGCTGTGACTTAACCTAAGCTTTTCCTCAGAGTCTTACAGTTACAGGGACTATTTTCTCATTATATCTGTTGGGGATGTACATTTCAAACATCAACAATAGTGTATATTTTCACTGACTTTCACTGGGACATAAACAGAGCAACTTAGATTTCAGCAATTATCCAATCCCAGTCTCATCATTTTATAGATGAGAAGATGGTGAGCCAGAGAGGAGAAGCAACAATTTTAAGACAAGAAGTTACTAATAATGCTGCAACCCTGGCCTTTGAGTTATGTAATATTTAATGTTAGGGTACAGAGATAAAAGATACAGTCTTTGCCCTCAAGACATGTACACATATACCAAAAAGAAAACCAATGCTGTTGTGGAATAAATTCATGAGTTCAAAGTACATGGACTCACTGTGGAGAGTGAGACAGTATTAAACTTCCCCTAAAGAATACATGAAAAGTTTAATAAAGAAAGAGATATTTGACTTAGAACTTGAAGAATTAATAGCATTTCTTCAGACAGATCTCCTTACTCAGTGCTTTTGAAAACACACAACATAGCCTGGACAAGCATTGATAGCAAGGGCATATCAAGTTGGTGTTGTACTATGGATGTAGGAAGAATGGTGTTGTACTATGGATGTACGGAGGAGGGGATGTTAAAGTCTTTAAGTCTTTAAATAAAAATATTTCTACCACAGTTCATACCTACTTGCTCAAATACCAAGAAAAAGGTACATAAATAGAGTGCATTTCTTTGAAATATTCCTAGATGATTTAAAAAGAAACTGAATACAGCTGGGTGTGGTGGCTCATGTCTGTAATCCCAGCACTTTGGGAAGCTGAGGAGAGTGGATCACTTGAGGTCAGGAGTTCCAGACCAGCCTGGCCAACATGGCAAAACCCCATCTACTAAAAATACAAAAATTATCTGGGCGTAGTGGCATGCACCTGTAATCCCAGCTACTAGGGAGGCTGAGGCAAGAAAATTGCTTGAACCTGGGAGGCAGAGGCTGCAGTGAGCCGAGATTATGCCACTGCACCCCAGCCTGGGCGACAGAGCAAGACTCCATATCAAAAGAAAAAAAAAAAAGAAACTGAATACCATTTATGAGAATTTCAAGGCCAGTATGTAGAATTCAACATGGCTCTGCAATTATGCATATGTTATTGAAAGGTAGTATATATTTACTTCAAGAATAGCATCAAATCTCACTACAGTATTAAATATAGTAGTTTTGTAAAACACTTTGCAAAGGAAACCAGAACGTGCTCAATTATAAATCTAAGAATACATAATTCCATAGTGACATACTTACCTAAGTATCATAAAAATAATATAACCACTAACACTAAAATATCTTTAAAATTTAGACTCAGCTAATTAATGAGAGCATGCCATTACTAATATAATTTTGCATGATTAATAACTAAGATTGCCACTTTAGTTCAGGAGTTCACTAGGATTCTGTGAGTACTTCCTTCTGCCAGAAATTCCACTACTAATAAGTTTGTTTAGGTTCAGGTGAGAAACGGCTGAAGGTAAGAAAAATGTGGTTGACTGAGTCAGCACAGTATCTTTTTTAGACAGTAAAGGTCAGGTTTTTATCCACCAAATGAAATCATATTTGCATAATTTAAAAAGAAACATTATAGCAGGACTCTATTAGAAAGTCAGGGATATCCATATAATGCCCGTTATTGACAAGGAGAGCTACAACGCTGCATATAAACAGGGTATATGAGCTACACACAGACCATCTACTGGGTGGCCAGTGAGATGCTTTGTAATAAACACCCTGGATGCTAAAACATGACATTTTTAACTTCTTGTAAAACGTCATCATTAATGGCAAATATATGACAACAGTTAATTACCAGGATTCTATAAAATAATTAAGAGATGAGTAAATATAAAAGTTTTACCTCCAGAATCTCAATTCTTCTCTCTTTCTCTGCCAACTGTTTTCTTAGTTGCATTATTTCAGCTGATGCTGGATTTAACTTGGGATCTAAAGTTTTTATTACCTATTTAAAGAAAACAATTTTATGCTCACTTTATATTTTAAAGTATTAAAACATATAGAACATATCTTACAAAAACCGTGTAAGGTGGAAAATAATCCACAAATTCATCCAAGAGCTAACTGTAGGTTGTTTTACAATCCTAACTGGGATAACAAAAATAACTCATTCTATATACAAGAAACAGTATAAATAAACAAGAAAAATATAAATGTCCCCATTCCAAAATCAAATTTCCCTTCTCCAAAGCTCAGTACATGGAAATAGTTATTTAGCCTTTTCAATACTCAAACTTTAGAAATTAAAGTCTTGAAATAACCCTTTCTATATTTATTTGACTTGAGAATTTTTTAAAAAATCAAAATGAATTCAATAACTCTAAGGAAACTTACTGATTTTATAAAGTAAGAATAACACACACACAAGAAATTCTTAACAATAATCTTTTTTACTATTATTATCTAGTCAAGTGTAATTCAATATATAAGATCAATATAATAAATGCTGGTGATTTTATTTGCAAAAGGTAGGGTGCTGAATCGCATTTATGTTATTACTAAAAATTGAGTAAAAAGATATGTTTAACCAGAATGTAGTAAAGAGATTCGGCTAAACTATGAAGATACCATTCTGTTAGAAAACCAATTCAGAAATGTCAAGAATATATTTCCAGCGAAACCATAAATTTCAAACAGGGACATCGGCATGATGTAGTTATAAAACTATTAAAAATATTTAAAATTATTTAATGAGTTAGGACAATTTCATCTATATTTATAGAGGTAAAAGAAGACTGGATGGTAAAATACCAAAATATTATTGTGGCTCCTTCTTTCATCCAAAAATCATTTACTGAGTGACAACTATGCCGCAGATGAGGATTCAGCAATTTATGGGAGACATGGTGGCTGCCCTCATGGAATGCACACCATAAAAGCAGAATACATTGAATAATTTATATGAATTTAATTACAAAAAGAAAATCATAGTTTATTATCTCTAAGTGATAAATGGTTGTGATTTGTATATTTTCTGAATTTTCTACAATGGACATATGTTATTACTTTAACCAGTATCTTAACCAGTATTTAAACCTCTTGCCCCAAATAAGGTAATGGGAAAAAAAATCACATTTATGAAAGCAAGCAATTGTCTTTTAAATGATATTATTCAATGGTGGCAAGAATATGGTATTCATTGTCATGGTTTTAATTAATTATAGTCCTTTTAAAATGTCATTTAGAAATACATATCAAGCATCTTATGGTCTTATCCTATGACTCAGTACTTCCATTTCTAGGAAATAAAGTTAAGATAATAAATCAAAATAAAGAGAAAGTTTTTCTGTATAATTATGTTGACTATAGTCTTATTTATAGGAGCAAAAAAGGAAAAGGGAATGAATACAGATTATTTCCAATAGTAGGATAATGCTTAAGTAAACTATGTTATATCCCACACAACTAAGTATTATGTAGGCATTATTTCACTTTTGCAAAGTCTGTTCCATAAATGTGGTATGGTCACATGCCTGCACTCCAAAGTGGGAGTGAAAGTGATTTATGCTGTTTTCAGGCCTCACCCATTACATATCTCCTATGCAATCTAGGCTGTCTTTCTTCTGTACTAGTTGGACAAGGTCAAGTGAACCTGGGGTCCCTATGCTGAAGAAGGCAGAATCTCTGTCAGCTTAGGACTCTGAATGACTACATGGAGAAGTGGTGCCCTTTCCCCATTTATGGTTGGACTCAATGTGACTATGAAGTAAACCTCTACCTTGTTAAACCTTGAGTCTGATGAACATTTGAAAAGTGTTTAACTGCCTAATCTAAAACTAAATGATACAACAATTTCAAATATGTTTAAAACGCTAAATTTTTACAAAAGATAAAATGTTCATATTGCTGTTTCTAGAAAAACTGTATTCTTAGAAAATCTGCAAAGATTCTAGCAAATAAGAATCCTGGGCTGAAGGCGGCGCCCAAGATGGCTGAATAGGAACAGCTCCAGCCTCCAGCTTCCAGGGTGAGTGACACAGAAGATGGGTGATTTCTGCATTTTCAACTGAGGTACTGGGTTCATCTCACTGGGGCATGTCAGACAGTTGGCGCTGGTCCGCGGGTGTAGCCTGACCAGCGAGAGCTGAAGCAGGGCAAGGCATCACCTCACCTGGGAAGCACAAGGCGGAAGGGAATTCCTTTTCCTAGCCAAAGGAAAGTGAGACACACAACACCTGGAAAATCGGGTAACTCCCACTCTAATACTGCACTTTACCAAGGGTCTTAGCAAATGGTACACCAGAAGACTATATCCCACACCTGGCCCAGAGGGTCCCACGCCCACGGAGCCTCCCTCATTGCTAGCACAGCAGTCTGAGATCTAACTGCAAGGCAGCAGCAATGCGGCAGCAAAGCTGGGGGAGGGGCACTCGCCACTGCTGAGGCTTAAGTAGGTAAACAAAGCCACTGGGAAGCTCGAATTGAGTGGAGTCCACCACAGCTCAAGGAGGCCAGCCCGCCTCTGTAGACTCCTCCTCTGGGGACAGGGAATAGCTAAACAAAAAGCAGCAGAAACCTCGGCAGAGGTAAATGCCCCGTCTGACAGCTTTGAAGAGAGCAGCAGATCTCCTAGCACGGAGGTTGAGATCTGAGAACGGACAGACTGCCTGCTCAAGTGGGTCCCTGACCCCCGAGTCGCCTAACTAGGAAACATCCCCCACTAGGTGCAGACCAACACCTCACATGGCGGGGTACACCCCTGAGACGAAGCTCCCAGAGCAAGAATCAGATAGCAACACTCGTTGTTCAGCAATATTCTATCTTGTGCAGCCTCCACTGCTGATACCCAGGCAAACAGGGTCTGGAGTGGAACTCAAGCAACTCCAACAGACCTACAGCTGAGGGTCCTGACTGACAGAAGGAAAACTAACAAACAGAAAGGTCACCCACGCCAAAACCTCATCAGTACATCACCATCATCAAAGACCAAAGGCAGATAAAACTACAAAGATGGGGAAAAAGCAGTGCAGAAAAGCTGGAAATTCAAAAAATCAGAGCGCATCTCCCCCTTCAAAGGAAAGCAGCTCATTGCCAGCAACGGAACAAAGCTGGACAGAGAATGACTTTGACGAGTTAAGAGAAGAAGGCTTCAGTCGATCAAACTTCCCAGAACTAAAGGAGGAACTACGTAACCAGCACAAAGAAACTAAAAACCTTGAAAAAAGAATGGATGAATGGATAACTAGAATAATCAATGCAGAGAAGACCTTAAAAGAACTGACAGAGATGAAAACCATAACACGAGAACTACATGACAAATGCACCAGCTTCAATAACTGACTCAAACAACTGGAAGAGTATCAGCGATTGAAGATCAAATGAATGAAACGAAGCAAGAAGAGAAGTGTACAGCAAAAAGAGTAAAAAGAAATGAACAACGCCTCCAAGAAATATGGGATGACTGTAAAAGACCAAATCTACGATCTCATTGGTCGGTGCCAAAGTGACGGGGAAATGGAACCAAAGTTGGGTAAACACTCTTTCAGGAATACTCATCCAGGAGAACTTCCCCAACCTAGTAAGGGGCAAGGCGCAACATTCCAGAATATCAGGAAATACAAGAACGCCGCAATACATACCATCCCTTGAGAAGAGCAACCTCCAAGACACATAATTGTCAGAATTCAACAAGTGAAATGAAAGAAAAAATGTTAAGGGCAAGCCAGAAAAGGTCGGGTACACACAAAGGAGAGCCGGCATCTAGACTAAACAACAGATCTCTCCGCAGAACACTCTCCAAGCCCAGAATAGATGGGGGCCAATATTCAACATTCTTAAAAGAAAACAGAATTTTCCAACCCAGACATTTATATCCATGGCCAAACTAAAGCTTTTCATAGTGAAGAGAATAAAATCTTTAATCAGACACAGCAATGCTTTAAGAGATTTTGTCCCCCACCAGGCCTGCCCTACAAGAGATCCTGAAGGAAGCACTAACATGGAAGGGAACAACAGTACCAGCCATTGCAAAAACATTCAATATGTAAAGTCATCTGATGCTAGGAAAACTGCATCAACTAGCAAACAAAATACCAGCTAATACATAATGACAGGATCAAGGGTCACACAATAACATATTAAACTTTCAATGTAATATGGACTAAATGTCCAATTAAAAGAGATACAGAAGCTGCCAAATTGGATAGAGTCAATACCCATCAGTTTGCTGTATTTCCAGGGAGAGCCATCTCACATTGCAACACACATAGGCTCAAAATAAAGGGATGGAGGAAGCTCTACCAAGCAAATGGAAAACAAGAAATAAAAGCAGGGTTGCAATCCTAGTCTCTGATAAAAACAGACTTAAACCAACAAAGATCAAAAGAGACAAAGAAGGCCATTACATAGTGGTAAAGGGATCCAAGTCATCAGAAGACGCTAACTACCTAAATATATGATGCACCAATACAGGAGCACCCCAGAATTCCATAAAGCAAGTCTTAGAGACTTACAAAGAGACTTAGACTCCCATACAATAATACATGGGAGACTTTAACATCCCCACTTGTCAACATTAGACAGATCAGTGGAGACAGAAAGTCTAACAAGGGCTATCCAGGAATTGAACTCCAACTCTGCACCAGTGACCTAATCACGACATAACAGAATCTCCCACCCCAAATCAACAGCATATACATTCGTTCTCAGCACCACATCTGCACTTATTCCCCAAAATTTGACCACATAGTTGGGAAAGTAAAAGCCTCCTCAGCAAATATAAAGAACAGAAATTATAACAAACGTCTCTCAGACCAACAGTGCAATCAAACTAGAACTCCGAGGACCTGAGAAACTCAATCAAAACCCGCTCCAACAACTACATAAACTGAACAACCTGCTCCTGAATGACTCACTGGTACATAACAAAATGAAGGCAGAACTAAAGATGTTCTTTTGAAAACCAATGGAGAACCAAAGATACAACATACCAGAAATCTCTGGACAACATTTAAAGCAGTGTGTAGTGGGAAATTTATAGCACTAAATGCCACAAGAGAAAGCAGGAAAGATCTAAAATGACCAGCCTAACATCACAATTAAAAGAACTAGAAAACAAGAGCAAAAACACATTCAAAAGCTAGCAGCAAGCAAGAAATAACTAAGATCAGAGCAGAACTCGAAGGAGATAAGAGACCATAGAAAACCCTCAAAAATCAATGAATCCCGGAGCTTTTTTTGAAAAGATCAACAAAATTGATAAGACCGCTAGCAAACAACTAATAAAGAAGAGAGAAGACAATCAAATAGACGCAATAAAAATGATAAAGGGATAAATCACCACCGATACCCACAAAATACAACACAAACTACCATCGAGAATAACTTATTAAACACCTCTATGCAAATAAACTAGGAAACCTAGAAGAAATGGTAATTTCCCCGACACACACCTCTCCACCAAAGACTAAAACCAGGAAAGAAGTTGAAATCCCGGAATAGACCAATAGTAGTTCATGAGATTGAGGCATTCAATTAATGAGCCTATCCAACCAAAAAAAGTCCCAGGATCCCAGACCGGATCTCACAGCTGAATTCTCACCAGAGGTTACAAGGAGGATTGGTAACCCATTCTTCTGAAGCCTATTCCAATCAACAGAAAAAGAGCGAATCCTCCCTAACTTCCATTTTAACGAGCCAAGATCATCCCTGAACCAAAGCGCCTGACGAGACTCAACAAAAAAGAATTTAACCAATATACCCTATGAACAGTCGATGCAAAAATCCTCAATAAAAATACTGGCAAACTGAATCCAGCAGCACATCCAAAAAGTTCTCCACCATGATGCAAGTGGGGCCTCATCCCTAGGATGCAAGGCTCGTCACCATACGTGCAATCAATAACAAAATCCAGCACCATAACAGAACCAAAGACAAAAACCACATGATTCATAATAGAGCAAAAAGGCCTTTGACAAATATTCCAACAGCCCTTATGCTAAAAACCCCAATAAATTCGGTTATTATGGAATGTATCTCAAAGATAATAAGAGCTATTTATACAAACCCGACAGTCAATATCATACTGAATGGGCAAAAACGGAACATTCCCTTTGAAAACTGGCACAAGACAGGATGCCCCCTCCTCACCCACTCCTATTCAACACAGTGTTGCAAGTTCTGCTAGGGCAATCCGGAAGAGAAAGAAATAAAGGGTACTTCAGTTAGGGAAAAGAAGAAATCAAATTGTCCCTGTCTGCAGATGAGCATTGATTGTATATTTAGAAAACCCATCGTCTCAGCCCAAAATCTCCTAACTGATAGAACTTCCAGCACAAGTCCCAGGATACAAAATACAATGTGCAAAAATCACACAAGCATCTCTATACACCAGTCAACACAAACCAGAGAGCCCCAAATCATGATGAACCTCCATTCACCAAAGCTTCAAAAGAATAAAATACCTAGGAATCCAACTTACAATGATGTAAAGGACCTCTTCAAAGAGAACTACAAACCGCTGCTCAGTGAAATAAAAGACGGACACAAACAAATGAAGAACATACCATGCTCATGAGAGGAAAGATCATATTTGTGAAAATGGCCATACTGCCAAACGGTAATTTATAGATTCAATGCCATTCCCATTAAGCACCAATGACTTTCATTCACAAGAATTGGAAAAAACTGCTTAAAGTTCATATGGAAAAAAAGAGCCACTTTCCAAGACAACTCCTAAGCCAAAAGAAAAAGCGGAGGCATCACACTACCTGACTTCAAACTATCTAACACAGGCTACAGTAACCAATAAGCGATGGTACTGGTACAAACAAACAGAGATATAACCAATGGAACAGAACAGAGCCCTCAGAAATAATCCACACATCTACAGCCATCTGATCTTTGACAAACCCTGACAAAAACCAAGAAAATGGGAAGAGATTCCCTATTTAATAAATGGTGTCTGGGACGCAACTTCGCTTAGCCATAGTAGAAAAAGCTGGAAACTGGACCTTCCTTTACAACGTTATACAAAAATTAATCAAGATGGATTAGAGACTTGAAATGTTAGACCTACAAAACCATAAAAACCCTAGAAGAAGGCCTAGGCAATACCATTCAGGACATCACCAATGGCGCAAAGGACTTCATGTCTGATAAACACCAAAAGCACAATGCAACAAATGCCAAAATTGACCAAATGGCGATCTAATTAAATCTAAAGAGCTCTGCACAAAAAAGAAACTACCATCAGAGTGAACAGGCAACTACAGAATGGGAGAACACTTTTGAAATCACCTCATCTGACAAAGGGCCTAATATCCCAGAACGCTACAAAGAACTCAAAACAACTTTACAAGACAAAAAACAAACAACCCCATCAAAAGTGGGCAAGGATATGAACAGACACTTCTCAAACACACAGACATTCATACAGCCAACAGACCAGGAAAAAATGCTCATCACATCACCATCAAGAGAAATCAAATCAAAACCACAATGAGATACCATCTCACCACCAGTTAGAATGTGATCATTAAAAAATCAGAAACAACAGGTGCATGGAGAAAGTGTGGAGAAATAAGAAGCACTTTTACACTGTTGGTGGGACTGTAAACTAGTAATCATTGTGGAACACAGTGTGGCAATTCCTCAAAGGATCTAGAACTAGAAATACCATTTAACCTAGCCTTCCCATTACTGGGATATACCAAAGTATTATAAATCATCTGCTATAAAGACCATGCACACCGATGTTTATTGTGGCCACTATTCACCAAATAGCAAGACTTGGAATCAACCCAAATGTCCATCTGTGACAGACTGGATTAGGAAAATGTGGCACATATACACCATGGAATACTATGCAGCCATAAAAAGGATGAGTTCGTGTCCTTTGTAGGGACATGGATGCAGCTAGAAACCATCATTCTCAGCAAACTATCGCAAGAACAGAAAACCAAATACCGCATTTCTCACTCATAGGTGGGAACTGAACAATGAGATCACTTGGACACAGGAAGGGGATCATCACACACCGGTCCTATTGTGGGGAGTGGGGGAGGAATAGCATTAGGAGATATACCTAATGTAAATGACGAGTTATGGATGCAGCACACCAACATGGCACATGTATACATATGTAACAAACCTGCACGTTGTGCACATGTACCCTAGAACTTAAAGTACAATTAAAAAAAAAAAAAGAATTCTAGGCTTATTTTGCCAAGAACTAAAGATTCCATACTTTATAGCCATCACTCTCTCTGACATCACTACAGTCTATGTCTAAACAGTTCCTGTTAGCTATGGTTTATTTTATCTGACACTGATGAGTGAGACTAAGAGTATGAGAACTGATCGGGAAATACCACAGAAACCTGACAGGTAAGGTAATACAGTTAAGAGAGAAGTGATTAGATACAGATACAAGAATGGCAGAAAAATCCGGTGAAATGGGCCTTGCTAAAACACTGGCCACAAAGTCTTGAACTCTGAAAGATAAGTCACTCACATTTCTGGCTTTCTCCAAGTACATTTTATATCTTTCCTCCATTGCTTTCATATCTTCATCTTTCTTCTGAAGAGCAGTTTCAAGTTCATTGATCTTTTGTACTATTAGTAAAAATAAAATGAAACATAGTCAGTTATTAATAATTACTACCTATTAAAATACTTCATCCTCACATAAAATTATATTAATATTTATTTTCTAAAGACAGATAAGAGAACTTAAAAGAAAAGCCTGTTATTTATTCTTTGTAGTGAATTCTTATCTAAAAGTTTTGAAATACAACCAACACATCCTCAATCATTTATTTGACCCTTAAAAAAAATCTACAATCTGCTTTATTTAGCTGTTTTTCTTCTTTCTATCAAGTATAAGTAGCAAATATACCTTACAGTAAGCACAATCACAGGAAAAACAAAGAATTTCTACACAATGTTTTAAAGGTCATATCAATCTGATTTGAAATCGTTTTTATCCACATTTCCACAGATTAATTTTATTTTTTAATGTTTGATACTCCCATATATCCATCAATTCATTTTATTATTTTTGCTTTAATAATATATCATTTATTGACTTCAGCACTAAAAATTATCATAGTCCTTATTTACAATATATGTATCTACACATTGTGCAAAAATTTACACATAGACCTTGCATCCTTCAGTAAAAAAGAGTAAGTCCTTGGATAAACTATTGTCTGATCCAAGTTTTCACAGATACCTACCATTTTGATTTATATCTGGCTGAAGATCTTCAATGAGCTCTTGTTTCTTCTGTAATTCTTCATGGACCTCTGTGAGTTTTTCCCTACGTGGTAGAAAAAGCATGGAGACTGGTCTCTGGCATATAACATTTGTGGATCTTAGGCAAGTTGCTTTCTGACCCTTGGTTCCACACCTGTGAAATGGGAATACTATCTGCCTGACTACAGGGGTTGTCATGAGGATGTAAACAGGCACATAGCAGGTGCCGAAAAGGTTAAATTGTTTCCCTTGCCACACTTGCTTCCTAAGAAAGTAAAATATTTTACACGTTTAACATCCCATATAATCTAGTTGTGATAGTTATCTGTTTTTTTAAACTTTTGAAATGATATTAACAACTGAAAAATGTAGGAGTTTGGGATGGGGGTAGCAGGCAGGCTGAATCTTTAGCATGCTTTTCACTTTTTGCAGCAAGTATATCAATTAGCATCAGGATATTTGCTTTTCTAAACAAAATACGAAAAGGAGATTAGAGGCTTTTACAACTCCTCTCTTCTCATATTTGAAAAGAAATATCAGTTTTACTTACATATGAGCTTCCAACTTCTGCTTTAATTTGCTGGACTATAAAATTTAAAAAAAATTGCTGTAAGATGACTATCTTGACAAAGGTCAATTTTCCAGACATCTAAATCTCTTTACCTTCTTTTGAAGGTGTACCAGGCAAAATTATAAATATTTTTTAAATTTGTATTTCTAGTAACACACTTTAAGAAGCATAAACTTTTTAGGTTTTTTTTTTACTTCAAAAAGGAAAGGAAAAATAGAAAATGAAATATAAAAGCATACGACAGAAAGAAAAATGCCTCATATTTCTGAATGTAATAAAAACTAAATCTGAACTTGAAAAACAGCAAATGCAAGCTGAATGTGACATACTGAGGAGTATCAAACATTAAAATATTTAGAAACTCAATTATTCAGAATAAAAATTTTAAGATTTTGAGCCTCTTATGAGGAACAAACTTAAAGATCTAAAATAATTACCTTTATAATACAATTCTATTATTATAGTTGCAAATCCTTTAATAACTAATACCAAAATGAAGCAACTGAATATTGTTAAAAAGCAAAATTTTAAACATACAATTTCTCCTTTTAAAAAACAGTACTTTAAATTGCAATAGTCGTTCCACACCTACTGTATAGGTGAAGTGTTTAAAATATATAATCTGAAATATGAGTTGGATACCAATATATTAAAATAATAAAGACATTTGTCTTTAAAACACTGCAAGCCAAAATGTGCTCCTCCAAAAAGACCTCATTTTAAAAGTATTCTCTAGTGTGGCTTAAAATAATATTTGTATTAGAGAAGTTACAATACCGTATATATGCACATATGAGATGCCGCCATGCATGAGACGATTTCTATTTTCCAAGCCCCCAGGGAAAAAAAAAGAAAATAATATAAAGCATATAAAAGACAGAAAGGAAATGCAACTCTTTCAATTTTCCTTTTCATCTCTTTACTTACTCTGCATGGTTTTCTCCCCCATCAACACAGGTATAATCACCTACATTCTATCTAATCTCAATCAATCAAGATATCCCTAACACATATCTAGTCCTTTTTCCTTGTTATTTTTAATTAAGTTAATCGCTCTCTCAATCACTACTTCTTTCTCTTCACATAAAAAGATCAAACTATAGAATAGTTGCTAGGTATAGTCAGATTTTGGCTAAGTTTGATATCTTTTAAATCCTCTTATCTCTGCCCTCACAATATCTGCCATCAAAAATCATCAGAAAATGGTAAGGCCATGAATCATTAAGGAAGGAGGAAGAAATGAGTGATGCCTCCAAGGCTGCATTAAGGTTTCTGTCCTTCAGAGATGGATATAATCCATTTTTAGCATGCTCTTTAGGTAGAAATCATTTTCCCATTCTCTCTTTTCCTATTAGAAGGTTTCCTCAATTCTGATTGCTAATTATTTGGATTTTTCTCAGGCAAGCCCTGTTGGAATTCCAGCAGAACTATGAAGCCCTCAATTGTAGTATGCTCTCAATCAAGAATCATCATGAACTTTGGTATAGCTGTTGAATGATGCTGAATGATGATCAAGAATCATCATGAACATTGGTATAGCTGCTGAAGTAGGACAGACAGAAATCACCTTCCAATGTAGATGATCAACTGACAGGCTCCAAGTTGGCAAAATCACTGCATCTATTATGCAGATATATACGGTATTTAAGGGTTTTCTCAATGATAAGGGCTGCACTTTCTAATACAAGATTAGTTTGGGCATCATAACCTATTAAAGAAAAGCCATGCACAGCAGAATTATAATTTCTAAGTTACTTACACTTTCGCCTTCAGACTTGGAACCTTGTTCCTGTAAAGACTTCTGGAGGTCCTCAATCTGCTGCTGCAATTCTCTAATACGCTCTTTGCTCAGCCTATTGTAAGATGGGTCATAAGCATTTACTTGTATTGAAAGTCAAAGCAGTTAAGGATCTACAAAGGTACATTCAGTTAGCAATTTAACTAAAATATGTTTTTATAGCAATGACAAATGTGGAATAATTATCTGTGCCTAGCTACAATAGGAAGTAGGGCAGACTGCTTCTAAGGAAATATTTTTTAAAAGAAAACTTTTTTCCTGAAAGTACATATGCCTACATTTAAAATTTTAAGGAACTTAAATGTCGGTGGCAAAAACATTTCTACACTGTACTCACTGGTAGAAAAATCAGAAAACCAGCTCAATTTTTCTATAGTTGTATTTTCAATGAATGAAAACTAGATTTCCATCTTCTGTTTCAGATTTCACAGTGTATTGAAGAGGAAAGTCCCCATTTTCCAATCATTTCCACATGTTTTTTTAAATTTAAATTAAAGGGACTACCACTAGCAACTAATGCAGATTCTAATGTGGCAATATCTCATTCTTTAAAACTCTGCTTAAGAGTTACTTCCACAGGAAGTTACCAGCAACAGTTAGCATCTCCCTCTCCCTCTATGTATATCCACACATACACACTCACCTGCCTGTTATAATATCCCATTGTTGTAGTTATCACATAATATAGCAATTATCTATTTACATGTCTACCTTCCTATGTTAATTCCTTAAAAGCTTAAATAATTTCCCCAGTGTTAACAACTGGTATTGAACTGAATAAGATAGTAATATTTAGTGCTCTTCAGAAAAGTGTTAACAACTGGCATTAAACTGAGTAAGATGGTAATATTTAAGGGTCTCTTCAGAAAAGTGCCAACAACTGGTATTGAGTAATATTTAATGGCCTCTTTAGAAAACTAAATTATCATTCTTATTTTAACCACAGTTTATGTAACATTATACACACAAGTTACACACAAGTTTGAGAAAGGTAAGATTCAAGTGTGTCTAAAATTTCTGTTGGTGTCTAGGATTCAATAAAGGTTAAATAAGTCTAAATACCCTTATAGTAAGTGTGCCATTTATAACAGGCAAGTTACCATAGTAGTTAAGAGTAAAGACTCAGTAATCAGATTGACAGAGAGTTCATTATGGAGGATCTAGAACTACTAGCTGTATAACTTTAGGTAAGTTATTTAACTTCTCCGTATCCATATTCCTTATCCATAGAAAAAGAGCTAATCATGGTTATTATTTCATAGAGTTACTATGACGATTTACTGAGTTAATAGCAAAAAAGTACTTAGAAAAGCATATTATTATTATAAGTTTTGAGCACTTCATTGATACCACATAAGCACATCATTTGCTTTAAGCTCATTTTCTGTAGTCTTCCTAATAACTTGTATTTACACCTGAAGACACTGAGTGTAAGTTTAAGCAGTTTGTCCAGAAACAGTTAATAAGTTAAATTAGAAGTGGGATTTAAATTTGATTCCACAATCTAGATCTCATCTATGCACTAGACTTCAGTAGAAAGCCAAACTGTCATTTATTCATTTGTCAAATTTCATGAATTGTGAACATATCTAAATGAAATTCAAGAATAAGTAGCCTGGTGGGCTGGACGCAGTGGCTCATGCTTATAATCCCAGCAACTTTGGAAGGCTGAGGCAGGTGGATTACATGAGGTCAGGAGTTCGGGACCAGCCCAGCCAACATGGTGAAGCCCCGTATCTACTAATAATACAGAAATTGGCCGGGCATAGCGGCTCATGCCTATAATCCCAGCACTTTGGGAGGCCGGGGCGGGTGGATCATGAGGTTAGAAGATCGAGACCAGTCTGGTCAACATGGTGAAACCCCATCTCCACTAAAAATACAAAAAAAATTAGACAGGCATAGTGGTGTGCACCTGTAGTCCCATCTACTTGGGAGGCTGAGGCAGGAGAATCACTTGAACCCGTAAGGTGGAGGTTGCAGTGAGCTGAGATCGCACTACTGCACTCCAGCCTGGGTGACAGAGCAAGACTGCATCTCAAAAAAAAAAAAAAAGAAAGAAAGAAAAGAAAAGGAAACAAATACAGAAATTAGCCAGGCATAGTCGTGCATGTCTCTAATTGCAGCTACTTGGGAGGCTGAGGCATGAAAATCACTTGAACCGGGGAGGTGGAAGCTGCAATGAACAGAGATCGTGCCACTGCACTCCAGCCTGGGCGACAGAGCGAGACTGTTCAAAAAAAATAAAAAGAGTAAGTAGCCTGGTTAACCAAGACTGCTGAAATTAACAGCTTATCCATATATTTTATAAACATAACTGAAATGAATCACTTGACTTATTTCATAGAGTGAAGCTTATAGTAATGAAAGACTACTAACAAAAAAAAAATTGAACTATTTCTAGGTAATTCTAATTACTTTAACTACAATAATATTTTCCATTTCTGTGAATCAAGATTTTGTGGCTCAGTAGTTAAATCACCCATATTTTCAATTACTAAGGAGCACATCACCTCTGCTCAGTTTCCAGTTCATTCATTTTACGGTGTTTCTGTTCTAGCTGCTCCTGAAGTTCCTCAATACGTTCATTCTCAGAGCCTTCTTGCTGTAAGCGAAGCATCTTATTTTCATGTTGCAGTCGAATAAACACCTCCCTGATGTTACAAAACAAAATCTTTTTTTAATTTTTAAAAATATGAGTCATTATGTTCTTTAGTTAAAAAAAAGGAAATTCCTTTTCACTCAATAGCTACCATTTTAAGATGCAAGCCGGACCAGCTAGCACAGCTGGTAGGGCATGAAACTCTCAAACTGCAGCAAAAACTTCTGAAAGTGTTTAAGAAAAAATTATGTATACTACAAGACTGTGCCTTTAAAAAAGGCAGTAAAATTTTATAAGTACCACATAGGATTATGCTATAAATCATTAAGTTGTATATTATACCATTCCTGAAGAGATAATAGAAATTATTTTACTTTGGTAATTTAGAAAATATTTGCTAAAGGAAACAAATAGTATATGCTTAGAAAACACATAAAAGAAAAGCAATAGATTTAAGAAACTATAGTTTGACTAAACTTTTAAGATATACTTTATAATGGCAATAAGACAGTTTCTAGATCTTTTGTTTCTGAAAAAAATTGTATTAAAGATTTACATGTACTTTTTAAAACTGCAACTTTTATTGTTTGCATTAAATACGGAAGTAATACTCTCCCTTAGTTGTTCCCCTGCCAAATCCCATTCCTCAAAAGCAACTAATTTCAATTAATCCCAATTTTTGTGCTTCTGTATGCCAACAGCATAACTCTACAAAAAAAGCTCATATGGCTATTTTTTATAATTACTAATTTTAATTTAATGATTGACTCCCCACTAAGCAAGGTAAGTAACTTTTCTTGCTTTATACATTTACCACTTCCCCCATCAAAGGCTTGTAAATCCTATTTATTTTTGTTTTCTAATAATTTTCTAACTTTATATACTTAAACCTCCCTAGTTAAAGCAATTATAACATAGCACTTGGGGGTCATGTCATGTTATAAAAACTAGAATATGTTATTCAAGGGTTTGTGAAATTTTACTTCTGATAAAATTTTAAATTGCTGTGGTAGCAATAAGAATCTGATTTAGAAAGTTTAAGTAGATCAAACAGTAATTTTCAGCTCTATGAGTCATAAGTTTTTAAAGGCCAAGACATTTACAAAAAAGAACAAAATTATAATATTAAATATAATTCTATCAAATTACAAAACAAATTTACCTATATTCCACTGGCATAATCTCAGCAGCAAGATTCTCATAACTTTTTGCAGCAGATGCACCTAGAAAATAACAAAAAATAAATTCGCATTTCAGTATTTCAACTATTTTTTTAAAAATCCTCTCTCCCTCCTTGCCTCCCTCCCTCACTCCCTGCCTGCCTGCCTTTTTCTTTCTTTCGATAGGGTCTCTCTCTGTCAAGAAACCTTCCCTTCCCGTCCCTCCCCTCCCCTCCCCTCCCCTCCCTTCCCCTTTCCTTTCTTTCTTTTCCCTCCCTCCCTCCTTCCCTCCCTCCCTCCCTCCTTCCTTCCTTCCTTCTTTCCTCTCTTTCTCTGTTTCTCTGTTTCTCTCTTTCACACCAAGGCTGGAGTGCAGTGGTACAATCATAGCTCACTGCAACTTCAAACTCCTAGGCTCAAGTGATCCTCCCGCCTTGGCCTCCCAAGTAGCTAGGACTATAGGTATGCACCACCATGACAGGTTAAGTTTTTATTTTTTGTTGAATGGGGTCTCACTGTGTTGCCCTGGCTGAAACTTTTCTAAATCTAACAAAAGTAACCTGTTTGGTTTAGGTGGTCCTGTTGTACTTGTGAACATCGAAGCTCTTCATTCGTTTCTTTCAAAGTATCACGCTGCTCAATTAGTCTCTGAAAAGAATTGTTGATATCAGCAAAGTATTTAATTCTGCCTATAAACAATGTACTTTATGCTTACAATAATTTATCTTAACTAGTTTAATAGTTGTTGCTTAATTTTAAGTGACAATGTTTTAGTTTTAAGAGGCTCATTTCTTAGGTTACATAAATAATGTGTCTTTATACATGGTTTTGACTTCCCCATCAGATAGCTTATCTTTGAACAAAATGAATGCAATTATGTAACAGAGGACAGATATGCGACTGGAGTAATAAAAAAGCATGGACTTTGGAGGCATAAAGATCATGGTTTGAATACCAATTTCACCACTTCCTAGCTATACTGTCTTAGGCAACTTATATAACTCTTTGGCTTTAGTATATATAACTTCAAAATAGGAATACCGATACATAAACCTTGCAAAGGTATTCTGATTAACAAAGGTGGTATTAGTCAAGGATCTAGAATATAGGTTGGCGTGTAAGAGATGCTGGAGACCAGTTACTTCTTTTTACCACTGTTGTGAAACTCAACTGGAAGAAGTGATAAGTAGTATCCTGGAGGTACACATTGGTAGAAAAACACCATTTCCCAAGGACAGCAAGCTGGTACTTCATATCATTGACTATTTTATTTTAGAGCCTACACCAATGACAAACTTCTAGGTTATGGACAGAAGGCTCACGTTTAAATCATTTTCCCAGAACGTGTAAAATACCACTGAATATAAAGTCATGTATTAAATGCTGTTATGTTCCAAGTCAATAAACAAAGCCCTAATTAGTCCATTACATGTTTCAAATCAATTTAGCAGTAAATTGGTAACTGATTCAAGGGGTCCATAGGTGCCTTAAGGATCTCTGAACCCTACAGGTTGGAAATCTAGCAGGAGCAGGCACAAAGACCTCTGTAAATCTGTTCCTCCATTAATGTAATGCACACACTAGCACATTTGTCATTATCAACTATTTCAGAATTCTGGGAATAAATCAAAGGCCTATAACAGGTGAGCATTTATTAAAGCAAACCTGCTAAACCTTGGTTAGAACGGCAAGCTTTTTGCTCTTTTAACTTTTCTAACTACTATTCCCATCTCCCCAGCTCTGCAGTAACCTTGAAAACAGACAGCCTTTCCATCGCTGTAGCTGTGAAAACCAGCAGCTCTAGCAGCCACCAGAATGGGTAGAGACTGGATGGATATGGGGCTCCCTTAAAAAGCCCCATTCACAGAGAATTGTCACTGTTTAACCTGTCTTGCAGCGCCCTAAACCCCATTTATAGGGACTCTTCATGATTTGACCTGAGTCACTGCTTGCTCTGCACGAAGTATTTCCAAGACATTAGGCAAACAGAATCATCAGCAACTGTTTGCCACCACAGGTATGAAGGCTATGATAATGGCTGCAGTACACAAGAGCCTGACCAAAAATTTGCAAGAAAGATCTGAGAAACAAGATGCCCATAGGAATCTTTAAAAAGCTCTGACATGTTCCCACAGATCTTGAAGGTCAGCCAAGTACAGGGCTGTGCACATGCCCAGAAAAGACATGAGAGGGCCCCCATTGTCTCAGCACTGTATAAACATGAGGCCCTGAGCAAACAGGAAGGCAAAGGCAGAGTTTCAAACTGCCTAAGCAATGAAGGTGTTTTCCAACACACATAATGTCACAGCCTTTACCAAAGGCTCAAGGATCTCTGACCAATCATGAACTAACCACAGTGGTAAATGAGCAGAGACATCAGTGGCTACACAATACAAAGAATGCAGATTTTACAGAATTAGTCCCAAAAAAGTCACTTAAAAAAACAAACAGCAACAACAATAAACCCTAAGACTGGAAAAAATCTGATTTCCAGATTTGAAATTTTATATTATTTTAAATGTCAGATTTTCAACAAAAATACAAAATACACAAAGAAACAGAATAGCCTACACACAGGGTTAAAAAAAAAAAAAAAAAAAAAAGTTAACAAACAGCCAGTGAGGGTGCTGAGAACAATAAATCACATAAAAAATTCACTACTGGGGCTGGTTGTGGTGGCTCATGCCTGGAATCCCAGTACTTTAAGAGGCCAAGGTGAAAGGATTGTTTGAGGCCAGGAGTTCAAGACCAACCTGGCCAACATAGTGAGTCCCCATGTCTAAAAAAATTAAAATTAAAATTAAAAAAAGCAAAGCAAAACAAACAAACAATTCACTATGGGAGACTGAGGTAGGCAGATCCCCAGGAATTTGGCCAGCCTGGGCAACATGGCAAACCCTGTCTCTACAAAAAAAAAAAAAAATATATATATATATATATATATACACACACACACACACACACACACACACACACACACATAAATTAGCTGGGTATGGTGGAGTGTGCTTGTAGTCCCAACTACTAGGGAGACTGAGGCAAGAGGATTGCTTGATGCCCAAACGGTTAAGGCTTCAATGAGCCATGATTGCACCACTGCACTCCAGCCTGGATGACAGAGCAAGTCCATGTCTCAAAAAACAACAATAACAACAAAAAACAGTAGATGGGCTCAGTGCAGACTTCAGCAGAAGAGTATCAGAGAGCTATAAGACACCATCAAGTGTGCCAATATACACATAACAGGAAACCCAGAAGAAGAGAAAAATTGCTAAAAACTTGCCAAATTTTATGAAAATTTATAAAATTTCCTTATTCTTTAAAAATGGCACATGCATGCAAATGTTTGCTGCAGCACTATTCATAATAGCAAAATCATGGAATCAGTCTAAATGTCCATTAATAACAGATTGGATAAAGAAAATGTGGTACATATACACCACGGAATACTATGCAGCTATAAAAAAGAACAAGATCATGTCTTTTGCAGGAACGTAGATGGAGGTGGAGGCTATTATACTTAGCAAACTAACACAGGAACAGAAAACCAAATACCACATGTTCTCACAAGTGGAAGCTAAATGATGAGAACTCATGAACACAAAGAAGGGAACAACAGACATTGGGGTTTACTTGAGAGCGGAGGGTTGGTGGAGAGAGAGGAGCAGAAAAGATAACTATTGGGTACTAGGCTTAATACCTGGTTGAGGAAACAATCTTTACAACAAATCCCAATGACATGAGTTTACCTATATAACAAACCTTCATATGTATCCCTGAATCTAAAATAAAGTGTTCTTTTTTGTTTGTTTTTGCTTAAAAAAAAAAAAAAGGTTTGCTCTAGTTCTTTGAACATACTTAGAATAGCTCTCTCTATATTAGTCTAGTATATCCACCCATTAGGACACTTCACTGGCTGTTTCTGTTGACTGCTGCTTCTTCTTGTTGTTTTACCATGTATAGGCTACCTTGTTTCTTTGTATATCCTGCATTTTTGTTGAAAACCTGACATTTAAATAATACAATATTTCAAATCTGGAAATCAAATTTTTTCCAACCTTGGATCATCAATCTACAGTTCTAAGAAGCTCAACAAATTCAAAGTACAATAAACTAAAAGGGATCCACACACCTGGATATATCAAAGTCAAACTGCTGAAAGCCAAGGGCAAAGCGAAAATCTTGAAAGCAGCAAGAGAAAAAGGATTCATCACATAAAAGGAGCCTTAATAAGATTAACAGCAGATTTCTCATCAAATAATGGAGGCCATAATACAGTAGGATGACATAAAATGCTAAAAGAAAAAGACTGTCAAACAAGAATTTTATATCTAGCAATACATCATTTGAATATGAAAGATGAACTGAAATTTTTCCAAGAGTAAACAAAACAAAACAGAGAATATGTCATTAGCAGACTTTCTCTATAGAAAAATACTAAAAGGAATCCTTCAGGTTGAAATAAAAGGACATTAGTGAGTAATTTGAATTTAGCCAAAGAAACACCAACAGAGATAACTATATACACAAATATATTTTAATGGCTGGGCACAGTGGTTTATGCCTGTAATCCCAGCACTTTGGGAGGCCAAGGCAGGCAGATCACAAGGTCAGGAGTTTAAGACCAGCCTGACCAACATGGTGAAACCCCGTCTCTATTAAAAATACAAAAATTAGTCGGGCGTGGTGGCGTGCGCCTGTAATCCCAGCTACTGAGGAGGCTGAGGCAGGAGAATCACTTGAACCCAGGAGGCAGAGGTTGTAGTGAGCCAAGATCGTGCCACTGCTTTCCAGCCTGGGCAACAGAGGGAGACTTCGTCTAAAAATATATATATATATATACACACACACACACACACATATATATACACAAATATATATACACACATAAAATTAATGTATTTTTAACTCTTTTAGTCTACAATTTGATTTAAAAGACAATAGTACAAAGCATTAATTAAAAAACAGTATTAATGAGTTTAAATGTATAAAGATGTAATTTGTATGACAGTAATAGCATAAAGCAGAGGGGAGGAAAAGTTTTTATTTTGGAGTAGTTTTCAATATACTATTGAAATTAGATTTATCATTTACTCTAAATGGATTGTTTCAAGGTAAGATGCTAATTGTAATCCCCCATAACAACCATCAGAAAATAGCTTTTAAAAACTTGTAAAAGAAACTAAGGAACTAAACTGGTATATTGAAAATAACACAAAAGAAAGCAGTAGTAGAAAAATGGAGGAGAAAAAAAGACATATAGAAAACAAATAAAATGGCAGATCTAAATGCCATTTTTATCGGTAATTACATTAAATGTAAATGGATTACAAACTCCAATCGAAAAGCAAATACTGGCAGAATTGATTAAAAACGATCTAAGTAAATGCTAAGTGAAAGAAATAGACCTTAGTATCAAAGACACAAATAATAGTTTGAAAATCAAAGGGTGAAAAAAATGATGCAAACAGTAACCAAAAGAAAGATACAGGACTATATTAATATTAAACAAAACAGACTTTAAGACAAATACGGGAACCAGAAAAAAGAGAGACATTAGAAAAATCAATCTATCAGGAAGATATAACAATTACAAACATAACTGAATCTAACAGACCTAAAATACACAAGGTAAAAATTGACGAAATTAAAGGGAAAAAGAGATGATGTAACAACAATTGGAAATATCTGTATCCTAATTTCAATAATAGATAGAACTATACAAAAAGATTCAAGGTAGAATACTTGAACAATACTATAAACCAACTAGACCTAACTGACGTATAAATACTTTACCCAACAGTAGAATACACATTTTCTTAAAAATCCACATGGAACACTCTGCAGAACAGACCATATGGTAGGCCATAAAACAGGGCTCAATAAATTTAAAAGGACTGAATGCACACAAAGTATGTTCTCTGACCACAATGGAATTAAATAAATCAATGACACAAGGAGATTTAGGATATTCACAAATATATGTGAAAATTGAGCAAGGTACTCATAAGTAACCAATGTGTCAAAGAAGAAATCATAAGGGAAAATAAATTCAAAAGAATTAAACAAAAATGCAATATGCCAAAACACGTAACGTAGCAAAATAAATCCTGAGGCAAATTTACAGCTGTATCTATATTAAAAAAAAAATCAAGAAAAATTCCAAATCAGTAACTTAACTTTCTATCTTAACTAGAAAAAAAATACTTACATACAAACGAATTTCTGTTCCTTTGCCAATAAATTATTAAAGATTAGAGTAAAAATAAATAAAATAGAGAATAGAAAACAAATTGTAAAACCACAAGTTAGTTCTTTGAAAAGATGAACAAAATTGAAAAATCTTTAGCGAAACAAATCAAGAAAAAAACAAAAACAGAGAAATTCAAATTACAGAAATCACAAATAAAGGAGAGGATATCACTACTTAGCAAAATTCCCTGGTTTCTCACAGAAATGAAGAAGAAACAACAATAGACAACTGTATGCCAATAAATTAGATAAATTAAATTGACAAATCTCTAGACAGACACAAATTAGTAACACTAGCTCAAGAAGTCACAGAATAGCTGAATAGACCTACAGCAACTAAAAAGATCGAATCAGTAATTTGTTAACTTCCTACAAATAAAGCTCAGGTCCAGAAAACTGAACTCCACAAAAGATTTAAAGAAGAATTAATACCAATTTTCATGAACTTTCCCAAAACATAAAAACGTGGGAAAATGTCTCAACTCACTCTATGTGGCCAGTGATACCAAAACCAGGTGATGGCCTCACAAGTACATTACAAACCAATATCCCTTATAATACCTATGGAAAAATCTTCAATGAAATATTTGCAAACTGAATCTGGCAACATACTTTTTAAAGTATATATTATGAACAAGTTGAATTTATCTCAGTAATGCAAGATCGGTTTAAAAAAAAATCAATGTAATACATCATATTAATATAATAAAGTACAAATACTATATATCATCTCATTGATCCAGAAAAAGCATCTGACACAATCCAATACTCTTTTATAACAGAATGCAACAAACTACAAATAGAAGGAAACTTCTTCAACCTTACAGAGGGCATCCAAAAACAAAAATGAAAAGAAATAACTCACAGCTAATATCATACATAATGGTGAAAAATCCAATGCTCTTCCCCTAAGATCAGAACCTAAAGAATGATATCTGTTCTTTCCACTTTTATTTAACATCATACTGACAATTCTAGCCAGTACAATTTAGCAAGAAAAATAAAAAGTATCAGGATTGCAAATGAAGAAGTAAAACCAATTCTATTTGCAGATGTCCTAATCTTATATATAGAAAATCCTGAGAAACTTACCTAAAAACTATAACTAGTAAACAAATTCAACAAGTCTGGAAGATTCATGATCAATGCACAAAACTCCATTAAATTTCTATATATTAGCAGTAAACAAATCCAAAAATGATCTTGATAAAATAATTTTATTTAAAATAACAACAAAAACAATGAAACACTTAGGAATACATGTTTAAAAGGTGCCAGTCTTGCACATTGAAAACTATAAAACATTGTTGAAGGACACTTAAGATCTAAATAAATGAAATGATATCCCACATTCATGGATCAGAAAATTAATACTGTTAAGTGGCAACATTTCTAAATTAATCTACAGATCAAGAAGTTCTTACAAAAATCTCAGCTTGTTTTTTTTTTTTTTTTTTTTTTTTTTTTTTGCCAGAGTTGACAAGCTGATTTTAAGATTCACATGAAAATGCTTGGGAGTCAGAATAACAAAAACAGCCTTGAAGAAGAATAAAGTTTGAAAACTCACCCTTTCCAATTCAAAACATAACTACAAAACTACAGTAATCAATAATCAATATATGAGTGTGGTAGTAGCATAAGATTAGACATAAAGACCAATAATAAACCATTAAAAGACCACAAATAAACCCTTACATTTATGATCACATGATTTTTTAAACCTTTTTAATTAATAGAAGTTATTTTCTAAGCAGTTTTAGGTTTTTGGAAAAATTAAATACAGGGTTCCTTTATATTCCTCTTACCCTCTTCTCACTCTAGTCTCCCCTATTATTACTATCTTGCATTTGTGTGGTAATATGTTAGAATTGATGAGCCAATGTTGATACACTGTTATTAACTAAAGTCCATCATTTATACTGTGGTTTACTCTTTTTGTTATACGCCTTATGAATTTTCATTAATGTATAATGACATGTATACACTATTAAAGTATGATGGCCAAGTGATTTTTAACAAGAATACCAAAGCAATTCGATGTAGTAAGAATAGTTTTATCAACTGGTGGTACTGGGACAACTGGATATCAACACACAAAAGAATAAAGCCAGATGCCTACCTCACACCATATACAAAATGGATCACAGACTAAATATAAGGGCTAAAACCATAAAACTGTTTAAATGAAAAACACAGGATAAATTCTTGTACCTTAGGTTACACAATGTTTTTTTTTTTTACAAACATCACCCAAAAAGGACAAGCAACAAAAGGAAAAACAAGTAACTCTTATCTCATCAAAATGTAATACTTGGTGCTGCAAACTATATCATCAAGAAAGTGGGATGACAACACATAGAATAGAAAAAAAATTGCGAATCATATACCTGACAAGGAACTTGTATCTAGAATATATAAAAAACTATTCCAACTCAATAATTACAAAGCATATAACCTAAGTAAAACATGGGGAAAGGATTTGAAGAGGCATTTTTCCAAGGAAGATATACAAATGGCTAATAAGTACAAAAAAGATGCTCAACGACATTAGTCAGTAGAGAAATGCAAATCAAAAACACAACGACATGCCATTTTATATCCACTAGGATAGCTAAAATCAAAAAGATAATAAGTGTTGATAAAGATGTGAAGTTAAGCATGGTTACCGTATGACCCATCAATACCATTTCTGCCTATACACTCAAGAAAAATGAAAATATATCTAAAAAAAATTTGCACATAAACATTCATAGCAGCATTATTCATAACAGCCAAAAATCAAAAACAACCCAAATGTTCATAAACGCGTGAATGGATAAACAAAATGCCGTATATCCATATAATGGGGCATTATTCGGCAATAAAAAGGATAAAGCACTGATACATGCTACAACACAGATGAACCTTGCAAGAGTCAGTCACAAAAATCACCAAGTGTATGATTACATATTCTAGAAGGACTAGGAAAATCTGTAGACAGCAAGTAGATTAACAGTTGCTAAGAGTAGGGATGAGAGGATTAGAGTGCAGGGTAAATGGTGACCGACATGAGGTTTCTTTTTAGAGTGATGGCAGTGTTCTAAAGTATGATTATGATGATGGTAATACAACTCTGTGAATATACTAAAAACCACTGACTTGTATACCTTAGGTGACATTTATGATATGTCAATTAAATCTTAATAAAGCCAATACAAAATTATTATCTATGGTCCATGATCCCAAGCAACTGACAGACTAGAATCAGAAAATATTCATTGAGACTTATGACCTTGGCTCTATCATTTCATCTACCATTGTGAAGAAAACTTTAAAAACTGAATGAAGATGTAAGTCATTTTTACAAGACACTTCTATGTCAAAAAATTCAATCTGGAGGAAGACAGAACTGGTAGACATCACCACCATTATAGAAACAGCAAGGGCATTACAAAACTAAAAGAACAATGAAATATTCCTTATCAATTATATCTTTGTTTACCTCTTTTTCCTTAAGTAAAGCTTCGTGTTTTTCTTCAAGCCGTTTCATTTCAAACGCTAGTGTGTCTGCCCTTTTGGATTCAGAGGAAAGTTTAACGTGAAGATCTTGAACCTAATGTCAGAAACAAAAGGAAAAAAAGTCCTTAAAAGTATGTAAGTGCATAAATCTCAACAGTCTTTCAGAATTAAGTAAATGAAAAACTGATTAGGAATAAAATATCTATACTAAAATTGCAGTCTAATTCTAAATACTTGTGGAAAATAACACATAGACAAGAATTAACATAAAATTAAAAATAATCAAATAGTTTAGCCAAAAAAATTAAAAGTCAGCCTCCTAATGTTATTTAGTAAACAGGAAAACAGAATATTTCAGGTTACAGCTCCATTCTCTAATACATTAACCCTGCTTACCAGAAATGCTAATAAACAATAAAATCTCCAAAGAAAAAATAATTTCAGAAGGTAGTAAAAAGGTAAAAGACCCAGATAACTCAAACTCAATTATCAATCCTTGAATTAAAATTAAAGAAAGAAATTCATCAGAGTAAGTTCATAGTTTATTATATGGAATGCTTCTCAATTTCTTTACCATTCTTAAGAAATCAAAAGGAATACCAAACTCTTACAATTCTGTCAATTAAAAATTAAGATGTTTCTTACCTGCCTTTTGTATGTTTCTAATTGTGTACGTGCTGCATTTGCTTTTTTTAATTCTTCTTCTAAACTGACTGTATTATGCATATACATCATGTTGGTTTCCTGTAAAGTTTTCACCTGTTTGCGAAGGTCATTCAGATCTTGTAGCTTCTGACGATATATCTCAACTGTTGACTCCAGTTTATTTGCTTTATCAGAGGTAGCCCTATAACAATAAAGACTAAGCATTACTGTATATAAACTAGTATATACTCATAACTTTACTCTGGCTGTAAAATGAATCTTCCAAACTATCACAAAAAAGAAAAAAGAAAAGTAAATGAGAGTGAGTGAGAAGAGGAAACTGTAAACATTGTGAGAACTTTGGAAACAGACTCCAGCCTAAATCCATTTAAAGTTCAACCTCTTTGGTATAAAGCCATCAAAATAAAAATGCTTCACACCTGACACACTAAATTATCAAACTATTTCATATATTAGCATAATGAATAAAAATAATAATTTTGTACATAAAATTAAACAATTCAGCTGCTCTGCAGCTTACAGGCCAACCTTCCTTTGTGTATAACATTCAGCATAGTTTCCTTCTAAGTATTTGACTTACTGTATTTAGGAAGCTGACTAAATTTATAAACTTGTCAGGCAAAGCACTTCCCTTTGGAGCTGTGCTTACCTGACTTAAATATATAAATAAACAAACAAATAAACTAAATCACTTCACTATCACAAGCAGGTCCAAATTAATGGTTATACAAATTTTGTTTCAAATGAGTATTAGGAACTACAAAAAATAATTAAGAAAAATTAACAAAAAAAATAAAGATCATGTGGACAGACTGTTCACTGAGTAACATTTCATAAGAAAAAAGTAAATATAAACTTTATATTGCCGAATGACAATCCTCTCTAAAAGAAAGTTAGGATTCTTGCCTATATTTGATCTATAGTTTATTAAATGTCAAAATATGGATTGAGAATACATTTCCTTACACAAAAATTTCACACAATATGATAGGTACAAGCAAGTCAAGTTAAACATATCTATAAGTACTCCGTTTACAAAATTTTAATTAAAGGTCTCATTTTGGATTTATGGGTTCTAATGTGAAAATGTCTTCAGAAGAATTGAGTATTATCCATGAACTGCAAGCCCAAACAACAAACATAAAAGAAGTTAAAACTATCAGCCTGGATTAAAAACTGATCAATACTTGACATACAGGAATAATCCTATGAATCCCTGATTAAAATATGAAATACTTGAATTGACTAAATAGCTCAGAAATGGCATAATTATACTTTTTAAGACATGTCATACCTAAGAACATCTATTTCATCTTTCAGGGCTCTTGTTTCTTCCACAAGACTAGTCAGTTCATCATTCCTATGCTGGAATTCGATTAGCTGCTTTTCAAGTTCTTCACAGTGAACACGGTAATCATCTTTTGCAGCTTCAAGCCTTGAACAAATAAAAAAGTAAGTATTTATAACTTCTATGATTTGTTATAATTACATAATTATATAACTTGCATGACTATATATGCAAATGCATATATAACACTCAACACAATAAAATATTTGATGATGAATAAAACATGTATCAATAAATGCCAAAAGACTGAAATATCATGGAACATATTCTCTAATAATGAAGGTTAATTAAATTATAAATCAGTCGCAATAAGAAGTCTAGAAAAGCTTTAAATCTTTGTAAATTAAACAACACATTCCTAAATAACCCACAAGTCAAGGAAAAAAATCACATTGGAATTTAGAAAATGTTTCAAACTAAACAATAACAAAAAGACAAGCAATCAAATTTGGGGGACAACACTAAACCAGTGCCTCTCAGTTTTAAAGGTTTATGTTAGAAAGAAAGAAAGGCTTAAAATCAATGATCTAAGTTTCAACTTTAAGCGGCTAGAGAAAGAAGAGAAACATAAATCCAAAGAAAGTATAAAGAAAGAAATCTAAAACCAATAATATAGGAAGCCAATAAAGGATGTTTGAAATATTAAGAAAACTGATGAACCTCTAGCAAGAGTGATCAAGAAAAATGAAAGAAAACCCAAGCAATATCAGGAATGTAAAAGAGTATGTATCATCTCATCTGCCACAGTCATTATAAGGATAAAAAGAGAATATTATGAACAACTTCATGTCGATAAATTCAATAACTTAAATACACATATACACTGAATTTTAAGGATAAGAAGAGAATATTATGAACAACTTCATGTCAATAAGTTCAACAACTTAAATAAACACATACACTAAAAAATACAACTTACCAAACTGACACAAGATGAAATAGGAAATCTGAAAAGCCCTATGACCATTAAAGAAATTAAATTTGTCAGCAAAAATCCACTCACAAAGAAAACCATAGGTCCAAATTGTGTTACTGATAAACTGTATCAAAATTTCAGAAAGAAATAACATTTTTACATAAACTCATAAAATAGAAGAAGAGAGAATATGCCTCAGTTATTCTATAAGATGCAGAAGTCTGATAACAAATCCTGAACAAGACATTACAAGAGACAAAAGTCAGACCAGTATCTATTATAAAGACAGTTATAAAAATTATTTTAAATTATTAACTGAATCTAGTCATATATAGAATAAAATACGAACAAAGTGGTTTATCTCCAGAATGTAGGTTTTTAACATTCAAAAATCAATCAATATATTAAAAGAATGAAAAAGAAAAACTACACCATCTTTTCAAGATGCAGAAAAATCATCAGACAGAAATCAACACCCAATCATGATTGAAAAAACAAAAACAAAAAACAAAAACCTTTTAGCAAGGTGGAAACAAGGGGAATTTCCTCAATCTGGCAAAAAGCACATTGAAAAACTCTACAGTTAACACCATAGTTGATGGATCCTAATTGCATATGATCCCTCTAAGACCAGAAAAAAACAATGATGGCTGCTCTTGCAATAAGGCAAGCAAAATAAATACAAGACAGAAATAATGAAAGGAAGATGTAAAGTTCTATTAATAGATTAAATGACTATAGATTCCATAGTCTGTGTTCTTCTAAAATTCATGTTAAAACCTAATCCCCACTGTGGTGGTATTAAGAGGTGGGGCTTTTGGGGAAGTGATTAAGTTATGAGGGCTCTGTCCCCATTAATGAGATTAGTGCTCTTATGAAAGAGGTTAAAGGAACCTAAGGATTCAGCAAGAAGAAACCATCTTGGATCCCTCAAACAAACACTGAATCTGCTGGTGCCTTGATTTTGGAGTTCCCAGTCTTCAGAACTGTGAGTGGTAGATTTCCATTGTTCGCAAATTACCCTGTCTAAGGTATTTTGTTAAAGCAGCAGGAATGGACTTTTTAAAATCCAAACAAATTACCAGCTCAATAAGTGAATTTAGAAACTCTGCAAGATACAAAAGTTTCAATATATTTAAGATACAAGTTTCAAGATGTAAGATCAAAGTTTCAATATATAATTATACATCTATCTACAGATTAGCAGCAAATTTTCACAATAATTCTGAATTTGTATTTACAATAGCATCAAAAACATAAAATACTTGGGTATAAAATTATACCCAAGCAGCACTGCCGAGTGAAATTAAATACTTCAATAAATGAGACCACATTCATAGATAGGAATTTTCTATAAGATACCAATTATACAACCCAAATCATAATCCTGAAAAGGTTTTTAATAGAAACTGACTAGCTGATTCTCAATTTTATGGGAAAATGCTAAAGACTCAGAATAGCCAAAACAAATTTTGAAAAGAAAGAACAAAATTGGAATACTTACACTACCAGATCTCAAAAGTCATACTGTAAACCACAGTAATTAATATACTGTCATATAGGCATAAATTTACTAACAGAAATGAAATGAGAGTCCAGAAAAAGATCCCAAATTTAATGGTTATATCATTTTTCACAATAATGTGAAAATAACGTGGCTTATAAGAGAATGCCCTCATTCTTAGGAAGTATGCACTGAAATATAAAGGGGTAAAGAGACATGTGTCCAACTTTCTCTCAAACGGTCCAGATAAAAATATGCAAATTATATGACTATATACAGAGACTGCTAAAGCAAATGGAGAAAACTGGAAAATAAATGTTGAACCTGAGTAAAAGGTGTAAAGAAGTTCCTTGTAGTATTCTTATAACTTGTTTTGTGAGTTTGAAGTTATATCCAAATTAAGTAACAAAAAAAATGTATAGTACAATTAAAGTGCCTGTCCTCAAGGTCTTCTAGTTCAAGGCTCAGTGGTAAACACACAAAAGATAATCAATGTTTATTAAAGGTAAGAATACATGACTTTGTTAAAGAATATACAAGTTAAAATGAAAAGCATCTACTTGGCTTATGATTTACATTTTTTCCATTTATTACAGGGTTACCTATCCTATTTGGGAAACTTCCAATTCTCCCTAGGTTTCAGCAATCACTCCCTTGAACTCCTATTGGCTTTCCTGTGGCCTTGATTTGGTCCTTAATACATATTTAAATAGTTTTGTTTTTATGTGTATCTCCCACTTCCTAACTGAATCTTAGCCCTGTGAGAGCAGGAACCACTTATACTATTTGGTATTTTCAGGAGCTTAATCAGTATCCTAAAGATGCTTAACAAAGCTTAGTAATTAGTTGTTAATACTGTGACTTTTTGCTACTAATATAATAGACAGAATTCCATAAAATGATTTCCATTAAAAATGCTACCTGAAGTTTTCTTCCTGTAATTGTTCTAGTTGTAACTGTGCATGAAAATACTTTTTTGCAACCACTGTGTTTGGATCATCAAAAGAGCCATCCAACTGGTCAAGTTTTTCATTCATCATCTCATTTTCAGAAACCAGAGAATTCTTTTCATCTTGAAGTGTGGTCACCTAAGAAACAAATACACATACATAAGCACCAGTAGAAAAAACAAGCAACTAAAAACTCTTATTAGAGTCTAGAGTTCAGATTCTAGATCTGACTAAGCCATTAAATAGCTTGGTCTGTCATACTAGATGAGTTCTAAGGATCCTTCTGAATGTAGAATTCAGAGTCTAGGACGTTTAAGTCAAACAAAAGAAATCAAATCAATACACATATGGAGAAAATAGAGTAACTATATCTTTAAAATGCTATGCCTGCCTTTGTTTGGGGAAGAAAATGTTTTCAAGTCTCTAAAATTGGATGCACAAATGAAACTTCAAAAAATTAATTTGTCTCCCCTTTTAGGTATAAACTAATTTAGAGAATGATGTCACCTACTAAGCCAAAATATACACACGTATGTTCAAAGTTATCATGATAGGTTTAGAGTACACAATTGTCAGTCACACATCACATATTCAAGAAATAAGCACATTTGGTTAATGAATCAATAACAAAAAGCTAAGCTGTTTCCATTTGCACATTTAAACTGTTTGCTTATGATTTAAAATGAATAAAAACATCTTAGTATAGAACCACATCAATATCAATACCTGGAGCAACTTTTTTTACTCATATTTTTAAAACATGCGTGATTTTCTCTCCTGGTTCTACTTCTTTTCCATTTAAAAACATCTTTAAAAATGCATAGCTAAGGCTGTGTCTTTTCATAAGGCCAGAAGTTTTACATATGATTAAGAATTAGTTTGAAAAACCATTGATTAACCTTTTCTGATTTCCAATGTATTACTGAACAAGTTTGCTATCCATATTTTCAAAACATGTAATTCAATCCAGTTATGTAAATATGACTACACGTTGACACAAAGAATAGGAAATTAATATCAAATGATTGCCCTGAACATAGTATATAGGCAAGTTACTGTCTTCTAAATGAGAAATACAAAGTCTGGGAAACTGTTCCTGGGCAGACAATATAAAGAAATAACTTTCTGTTCCTAAATTCAATGCATGCACCCATGCCTATTATGTAAACTGTTTAATGACTACTATTACCTGCCATGCATAATAATTTGAAGTGATTCAGATACAAAAAAGAATAAAGAGTTTCTGCCCTTAAGACCCTTACAGTAGAAATATAAACAATTATGTAAAAGATGTTGAAGGTGCTTTGATAGAAGTACACTATAGGGTAAGGGTAGGGCACAAAGAAGAAAATATCTCATTCTAGCTTGAGTGTAGGGGCTGTCAAAAAATGACTGACAGCGGAAAAACAACACCCTCAGTCATCAAAACTGGGTAGGACTCCCCTAAAACAGAATAAGACCAAGGGCAAATTTTAGTTTTGAACACCTGGTGAATAACCAATCTTGCTCCTATCCGTATGCTTCAATGTAGCTCCAGAGGCATTTCTGGCACAGACATGAGTAAGGAGGGTGCCAGACAGGCACATTCCTTGTTCCCACCCTAGAACCATGACTCAGAGCGCTGGTCAGGCATCTCCTTCAGCAAGCTCTCACAGTGATAAGTTCCATCTGCACCTGCCTCTGTCTCTCTCTGTTTGGGATTTCTGCACTTTTCACCTAAAAGCAGATCATATACCCTTCATTATTTGTTACAAACACATAAATCTTTAAATGTGGAATTTTGTGTTCTTTATTGAATAATAATTTCTCAGAAGACTGTACTTAGATCCTACGAGAGAATGGTAATATCTGAATGGCTCAATCTTCCTATGAAGTATTTTACAGGGTGAATATGATCCTATTTAAAATGAACACATTTCAGGTACTTTGCATGTGTTTGAAGGTGTATGTTACAATGTGCAGTTAGGAAAGGTGTGAAGGAGAACAGATTAAATTTCCCCTACTTGAGACACTTACTTCATTTAAATACAGAGGACTGGTTTCCACAGATGAATTTAGAAGACCTGAATTCCAGTGCTCCCACTGCACTAAGTGACTAGTCACCCTAACCAAGTCTTTTCCTTTTCCTTATTTGCAAATGCTTGAGGGTTAGAAGCATTATCCAGCCCTGTCATTTTAGATATTTACTTCCTTTAGCAAGGATAATACTACCACACCTTCGCTCCTTGCCCTTACACTTTTCAGAGAATCAACTACAAATTTAGCTCATTATTTAAACAAAAAAATGCCATTTACATACAGCATATTATGAAGGTACACTCAACCTTCTATACACCTTTTTCTAGACTTATTGCATAATATGCACATTTGTATTTTAATGTAACAGTAACATCATATGCAAACAATATACATAGCACTTCTGTGCCAGGCTCTAAGTGCTACATATATGAACTCATTTAACCCTCACGACGACTCTGGGAGATATATGCTATCATCACTCCATTTCTCAAAAGAAAAAACTGAAGTACAGAATAATTAAGTAATGTGCCTGGAGCAAATAACCAGCTAGTAATATGACCAGGTACTGAATGTAGGTAGCCTGGTTTGACAATCTGACCTCTTAACCATTAACTATTCTTGCTCATGCCAAGTTCGTTTTAACATACATGTGCATATAAGATTATAAACACACATGTTCATATATACATACATGTTAGCAAAAACTTGCCGTAAGAGACTACATACATATATATGAACATGTACTTGAATGTATTGGTGGGGGAAGTGTCAGGCACCACTTAATACTTTAATAAATTACCTCTATTTAATATTCACATATACAATATGAAGTAGAAACTTTAATTTTCCCATTTTACAAAAATGAAAATGGAGTCCTTATCTAAATAGTTGAAATTCTACAATTAGTAGAGTGATTTTCTCAAAGAAAGTTAAGCCAGCAAATTTCAACTATCAGAGAAAAGTATTTATGAAATTCATGCTTGAATATTCAAGCCTATAAGAAATCCTTTTAATGTTCCCTCCATGAAGTGAAACCTAATCTATAAAACATAGTGCCAACTAATTAATTACAATAAAAAACTTCTGTAAACTTAAAGAGGAAGTTTTTCTCAGCTCAGGGTTTCTTCCCGTACCTGCATATCCAATTCTTCACATCTTTGCCTCAGCTCTTCTTTTTCTGCTAGTGCTTCCTGAAGTTCTTCCAAGGCTTTTTTAAGCTGAAATACAAAATGTCCTAAATCTTAGTAAATCGTGTTTTGACACAAATATAGAAAAATAGAAAAAATATACTCTTCTCACAACACACATATACACTGATATGGGAAATTATTTTTTAAATTTACCTATTAACAAATGAGTCTTACAACAAAAAAAGAGAATTTTAGGCCAATGTCCCTGATGAACATTGATGTGAAAATCCTCAACAAAATACTGGCAAACCGAATCCAGCAGCACATCAAAAAGCTCATCCACCACGACCAAGTCGGCTTCATCCCTGGGACGCAAGGCTGGTTCAACATACACAAATCAATAAACATAATCCATCACATAAACAGAACCAATGACAAAAACCACATGATTATCTCAATAGATGCAGAAAAGTCCTTTAACAAAATTCAACAGCCTTTCATGCTAACAACTCTCAAAAAACTAGGTATCAGTGGAACGTATCTAAACATTAAGAGCTATTTATGACAAACCCACAGCCAATATCATACTGAATGAGCAAAACCTGGAAGCATTCCCTTTGAAAACCGGCATAAGACAAAGATACCCTCTCTCACCACTCCTATTCATCATAGTGTTGGAAGTTCTGGCCAGGGCAATCAGGCAAGAGAAAGCAATAAAGGGTATTCAAATAGGAAGAGAGGAAGTCAAATTGTCCCTGTTTGCATGATTGTATATTTAGAAAACCCCATCATACCAGCCCAAAATCTCCTTAAGCTGATAAGCAACTTCAGCAAAGTCTCAGGATACAAAATCAATGTGCAAAAATCACAAGCATTCCTATACACCAATAACAGACAAACAGAGAGCCAAATCATGAGTGAACTCTCATTCACAATTGCTACTAAGAGAATAAAATACTAGGAATACAACTTACAAGGAATGTGAAGAACCTCTTCAAGGATAACTACAAACCACTGCTCAAAGAAATAAGAGAGGACACAAACAAATGGAAAAACATTCCATGCTCATGGATAGGAAGAATCAATACCATGAAAATGGCCTGACTGCCCAAAGTAATGTATAGATTCAGTGCTATCCGCATCAAGCTACCACTGACTTTCTTCATGGAACTGGAAACGACTACTTTAAACTTCATATGGAACCAAAAAGAGCCCACATAGCCAAGACAATTGTGGGCAAGAAGAACAAAGCAGGAGGCATCACGTTACCTGACTTCAAATTTTACTACAAGGCTACAGTAACAAAAACAACATGGTACTGGTACCAAAACAGATATATAGACCAATGGAACAGAACAGAGGCCTCAGAAATAACACCACACATCTACCACCACCTGATCTTTGATAAACCTGACACACACAAGCAATGGGGAAAAGATTCCCTATTTAATAAATGGTGTTGGGAAAACTGGCTAGCCATATGCAGAAAACTGAAACTGGACCCCTTCCTTACACCTTATAAAAAAATCAACTCAAGATGGATCAAAGACTTAAAGGTAAGACGTAGGACCATAAAAATCCTAGAAGAAAACCTGGGCAATGCCATTCAGGACATAGGTATGGGCAAGGACTTCATGCCTAAAACCCAAAAGCAATGGCAACAAAAGCCAAACTTGACAAATAGGATGTAATTAAACTAACGAGCTTCTGCACAGCCAAAGAAACTATCATCAGAGTGAACAGGCAACCTACAGAATGGAAGAAAATTTTTGCAATCTATCCATCTGACAAAGGGCTAATATCCAGAATCTACAAAGAACTTAAACAAGTTTACAAGAAAAAAGCAAACAACCCCATCAAAAAATGTGCAAAGGATATGATCAGACACTTCTCAAAAGATGACATTTATGCAGCCAACAGACATATAAAAAATGATCATCATCACAGGTCATTAGAGAAATGCAAATCAAAACCACAATGAGATACCATCTCACACCAGTTAGAATGGCGATCATTAACAAGTCAGGAAACAACAGATGCTGGAAAGGTTGTGAAAAATACGAACGCTTTTACACTTTTGTTGGGAGTGTAAATTAGTTCAACAATTCTGGAAGACAGTGTGGCAATTCCTCAAGGACCTAGAACTAGAAATACCATTTGACCCAGCAATCCCATTACTGGGCATATACCCAAAGTATTATAAATCATTCTACGATAAAGATACATGCACATGTATGTTTACTGCGGCTCTATTCACAATAGCAAAGACTTGGAACCAACCCAAATGTCCATCAAAGATAAACTGGATTAAGAAAATGTGGCACATACACACCATGGAATACTATGCAGCCATAAAAAAGGATGAGTTCATGTCCTTTGCAGGGACATGGATGAAGCTGGAAACCATCATTCTCAGCAAACTATCGCAAGATCAGAAAACCAAACACCACGTGTTCTCACTCATAAGTGAGAGTTCAACAATAAGAACACATGGGCACAAGGAGGGGAGCATCACACACCAGGACCTGTTGGGGGTGAGGGCTAGGGGAGGGATAACATTAGGAGAGATACCTAATGTAAGTAACAGGTTGATGAGAGCAGCAAACCACTATGACACATGTATACCTATGTAACAAAGCCTCATGGTCTACATGTGTAACCCAGAACTTGAAGTATAATAATAATAATAATAATAATAATAAATGAGTCTTAATTTGTTGTCTTTGTGTGAATTATATTTACATGACCTCATTAACATTGAAGGCTATGGTCCCACAGAAGTAAATTTTATGTAAATCCCTGCAAATTACTTTTACAAGTATTAGAGAAGGCATTGTTTAGTTTTATTACAGAAAAAAAGTTTAGAAAAAAACACGGCAAGTTTACATTTAAATAAATTATTTCTTTAAACATTTTCTTTTGAAATACTTTTTGAGATGACTGGTGACACTCATAAAAGAAGATGTGTCTAAAAATATAACACAAAAAGTACTTAATGCATTTGCCTCTCCTCTTACCCTTTATTCTATAACCCATACTGGATTATAAATGGGAGAAGAGTGTCTTTTCCCCCTATAAAACAGTCTTGAAGGAAAGGAGCCTTGAATACAGGGCCTTTGAGCTGTTTCTTCAATATCAAGTGAGAGGAGAGCAACAGTGAAAAAAATTACATTACTAGATAAATAAAAACTTAGCAGAGTTTGTTTTTAATTGTCCTCTGTTTTACTGTGTAAACCATACAGCATGGTCCAAACTACATTACAAGTGTCAGAAAGAATGTTCAATGTCACTCAACTCTTTCAACATGATCACAAAAACCTCTGGAGACCAACACCACTTCCATTCAATTGGGATCTTGCAGAAGAATCAACTAAATTTCATGGAAGAAAATATTCTTGTATATGCTCTTTTTGTAAGCCTTATGAGGGTAATTGGCAAAGAAACCCTAACATTGCTTTCAACATTTTTCTTCCATACTAAATTACTCACCTGTTGCTCCAATTCTCCAACAGCATCATTCAGAGGAAAGCTCAATATTTCTTTACTCATCAACTAGGAAATTAAAATAATAAAATTAAGTATAACAATGTGATGTTTATGAAGTAAAGTATATTTTCTTGAAAGGATAGTAAAATGATTTATATTTAGCCTTTCCTTGCCTTAATTTGAGGATTCTTAGAACACTATTCAGATAAAAACTTTATTGGAGGTTTAACTTAATAACACAAATTCAAGCATATTAGTGAGGACACCTAAGTAAACTGTGCTTTAAATACATAGATATATTCAAAATACTTGTGTACTGAAGAATTTCAATACAATTTCTAAAAGACATATTACTGATGAAGAGTGAACCCATTAAATAATTTTAAAAGGGATTCGTATACATTGTAAGTTAATACTTTTTAAATGCAGCCTTTTTGAGAAGTCATTTTAAAAGCAGAAGTTACGATTATATGAAAAAAAAATCCTGTAAAATAACTCTTTGAGATGAAAGGCAGATTTACTTATGTACAGGGACGCTCTGAATCCAAACTAACAATGCAAACTCAGGGAGTACAGACCACCAAAGTCCTGTATGATGTCTCCCTCTAAGTCATGCCCCTTCCAAACTCTGCTTTTCCTGAGGTCTCCTCTGCACTCCATCTCAGCCTTTTAGGCTGATATTAAGAATCAACACTGCATCACATTAATTCTGAATCCTTCCTGGCTCCACTTACATAACTAAACTAGCTTTAATCCAGCTTATCTGGTTCTAAAACCTAAGTACCATCATATTTGCTCACAGATCTAACATTTTGAAAATGCATATGGTATATATAAATGAAAAATTCAGGAAAGATTGTCATAACTGGCAGAAAAAAAAAGAAAAAAGAAAAACTCCTGTCAGGTCAGAGACTGTTTATCCTGCATTTCCTGTTTAGTTGAAGTTATTTAAAGGAAGGGTCCCCAATCCCCAGGCCACGGACTGGTACCAGTCCGTGGCCTGTTAAAACTGGGCTGCACAGGCCGGGCGCGGTGGCTCACGCCTGTAACCACGCCTGTAATCCCAGCACTTTGGGACGCTGGGGCGGGTGGATCACGAGGTCAGGAGACAGAGACCATCCTGGCTAACACGGTGAAACCCCATCTCTACTAAAAATACAAAAAATTAGCCCGGCGTGGTGACTGGCAACCTGAGTCCCAGCTACTGCAAGGCGAGGCAAGGAGAATGGCCATGAACCCCCAAGAGGCGAACTTTGCATGAGCCCGAAGAATCAACGCCACGTACTACACACCTGACGACAGACGCAGGACAGAGGAGACCCATCCAAAAAAAAAAAAAACTGGGGCTGCACAGAGTGAGGCGGCAGGCAAGAGAGCATTATACCTGGACTTGTCACTGCAATCAGCAAGCAGCACTGCGATTGTCATAGGAAGCAAAAGACTCCACTGTGAACACTTTTATGTGAATTCTAACGCCTGATTATCTGAAGCAGAACAGTTCTTCATCCAAAAAACCTTCCCCCCCTCCCGCACCCCGGTTCTATGGAATCAATTTGTCTTCCACAAACTACTCCTCTGGGGGGCGCCAGAAGGTGGAGACCACTGATTTAAAGAGACGTGACAATATTAATTTATTAACTAGCTTTTAAAATGTAAAGGTACTAAAATTGGGCTTAAAGGCCTTTTAAAATATTTTGGGGGGTAGAAAACGAAGACCCGCTAGCTAAGGGTAAGTAAGCCTACAACAAAGAGCAAGTTTATAAAAAGAAAAGTATAAAGTATGAAAAGTTTTATATAATTTGGTTTAGGATTTTTATACTCATAGGAACATGATATAACTTACCTCTTGAATAGCAGTCATGACCACATGTTGAACTGACTCTTCCAGTGTCATTATATTTTGAATATGTTCTATGATTTAAAAAAATCAAATCTGAAAAAAATCTACTCTTTACATGTAGTACCTCAGCCATCAAATTAACAGACTATAAGAATTCATTTAACCACAGATAATCCTTTATGTAAATACATTATTTGTCTACCAATATGTCTTCCTTCCTCACCAAGATAAACTGAGTATTGTTAATCAAATGAGTTCATTCTTTCAAGACTGAGATGGTTGCAGTCAGCACCTTGAAATCATTTCAAAAATCAATTAACACGGCAAAGTACAAAAGTGTGAAAACTTTTAAAAAGTTATGTATCTAGGAATCGAATTCCTTTTTAAAATGGGACAAAATTCCTCAACAGTGCTTAGAAGTAAATTATGGAAATATTACATATAATATTAAAATTTGTAGGACACAACAAAATAATCACTCTAAGGCAAAAGTGCCACTTAAAATGTCAATTATAGCTTAGAATAGGAACAGCTGATTAATTCACAAGAAAAACGAATGAGATAAAAGAGGACAACAAAATTAAGTAGTAAATCAAAGCCAAAAGTTGGCCCTTTGAAAAAGACTAGTAAAACTTACAAACCTGATAAGATTAATTAAGCAAAAATAAGTTACAAATAACCAGCAATTAAAATATTAACAAAGCATTAATCAATGAAAAAATAAAAAGAATCACAATTACAACAAAAAATTACTAGATTTATAAATAAATTACTACTTGTCAATTTGCGATTAAATATTTAGAGAAGTTTTAACTTTCCATGAGCTAATGTACATGCTTTTATGAAAAACCCAATATACAGATCTTTAACATTATTCATAAGCGAGAAATAAAAGCCTATAGAGAAGTGCTGGATTGTCCTAGAAAAAAACTTCTAGTAAATAGTAGAGATGGACTAATATAAAAATTATCTGACACCTAGTCACTGTCCTTTCATAAGTGATAAACTACAATTAATTTCATGTATTTTGTTTTATTTTTCTCCTTTCGGAGTTTGTTAGTAAATTTATCCCAACTTCTATCCTTTCTCCATTAGACAATGTTGAATGTTTTCCAAGGCCCTGGCTTGAAGTATTTTGCATTTTGCAAACTTAAGCACTCAACATTATTCTTTCATAAAGGTAGTGTACTAAGAACAAGTTTGGATGAATCATGCAAAACAAACAGCAGCGTCAAAGGTCTCACCACCCAGACAGATTCAAGCCCTCAAGGGTAGGAGGTCTGGGCCTGTTCAGTTCATCATTCATCATTACATGCAACCAAATATGATCCTTTTGTACTCAGCAAAATATGGATCGCTGTGTTTGGATATACCAATATAATGCATCAATTCCATTTATATCATTAGACCACTTATCTGGAGGATATATTGGACAGATATGCTTCTGAAAAGAGCAGACTATTATCTGAAGAAACCTGAATTATAAATTAGTAGCCGAATATTTATTTATGAAAACTGAATCCACATAAAGTTCTTACATGTAAAACAGACATAATGTAGCAAATGAATAAGTACAATTTTTACTGAGTATCTACTAAATCTTATTTACTGGATATATATTAAACTAATTAAACTAAAATACATTTAATTTAGTCACTGAATATGAATATCAGAATCCAGGTACAAACAGGACACTCAAGGTATGCCACTTTTCAATGACAGAGTTGGGCTAGAATTCAGATCTTCTGGTTTACATTTCAGGGTGCTTTCTGCCAAGTTTTAATAGTACACTTTAATGCTAGCTTGTATAGTAATGTAGATTGTTTCTAGAAAGTAGAAATCCTCAAATAATTGAAATTCACTCACCTTGCTTCTTTTCACAGTTGATCGCACAACCTAAAATAAGCTGGAGCAACCTCCCAAGCTCCACTGGATCTGAACATTCAGTTATTTGGTTTAAATCAGGGACAAGTGCTTCTGAAATCTGCTGCCCCAAAAACTACAATATTAAAATAAATTAGATCACTCATTTATGTCAGCCGCATATAATTTGCTACATTTAATATTGTTACAATGAAAAATTATAGATTCATGAAAAAACTAAGATAAAATAACAAATGACAAATCAATAATTATTGATTAAAACCAGGTAGCAATGTTCAGGCAACATTCCAAAATTCTGAGTAACCAACCGAAAGCACTATATTCCCTTTTGGTTTCACATCAAATATCCTTTGATTCCACTGTCACAGAGAAGAATTTAATTTAAGAAGCACTTGGCCTAGTCTACTATGACAAAACTTATTCGTGTCCATTAAATAACAAGCTTATGTTAAGCCAAAGAATATTAATAATATTTTCATATATAATCAATTAACAGAGAAACACAATGTAAACCACTGCACTTTTACAAATGAACAACAAATCTAATGGATTAATTTTTTTTCCTGGTCTTATCTTTCTTTTTCTTATTTTTTACCTGATTAAAATGGTTCTTGGCATTAAAAAAGCTTCAAAATTAGTTTTAGGTATTTAATAAATTGAAAATTTTTAGAGAGTATTAAACATTTTTGGGAGAAATTACAAGTTTAATTGTGTGACAACTCTAAAAAATAGAAACAAAAATTCTTCAATGGAAAAGTCATTCAAAAGCTGCCTACCATTAAGCAATAAACTCTCATATCAAAAACCCTACTAGAGAACTTGTTATGATGCTGAATAAGAAAAAAACAAACTGTTTTACTAATGTACTATCTAAAGTGACTTTATAATACTACTTTCATTTTGCATTTTTTCCAACTTACTTGTATGAGCATAATCTCATTTATGTCTTTGCTATTGTTTACACTAGGAAGAAATGTCAAAATAATGCTTTAAATAGAAAATTACTTCAATTAAAGTCTACTTTATAGTATTCCACAAAATCAAATTATATTAAAGATGAAGGTAATTCTACTTGAAAATAATCAATGTGGAGAGTATCAATACCTAAGCAATGTTATCTTACAAATCAATATATCTAAGCTTAAGCTTGTTCATTTTCACAAATGAATATTTCATAAAAATGGCAATAAAACATGTTCCAATTATGACTTACATTCCAGTAAAATATTATAAGCAAACAAAACAAGTGATTTTTCAGTCTTAAAGTAATTTTCATATAGCATTTTGGATTTAAACAAAGTCAGATGTTTTTCATACCTCATGATAATAACTCATAATTCCTTGAAGAACCTTCTTTAAATTACTGGCCTAATGTGAAAAAAATAAGAGATTCTTATTTCAGATTAATAATGAAAGAAAAGTTATGCCAGCATGAAGGACAATAAAAATTCTCAGTAACCAACCGAAAGCACTATATTCCCTTTTGGTTTCACATCAAATCTATAGAGAAGTGCTGGATTGTCCTAGAAAAAAACTTCTAGTAAATAGTAGAGATGGACTAATATAAAAATTATCTGACACCTAGTCACTGTCCT